TATATATATATATATATATATATATTGTATATGGAATTATGCACGGAACAAAAAAAATGTATATAAAAATTTGTTTGGGGGACAGGCAGCTCTGTGGGTTGGGACTCAGAAGGTTGCTGGGTCAAATCCCGGAGCCGGTAGAATGATCCCATTGTTGGACCCTTGGGCAAGGCCCTTTACCCAAATTGCTCCAAAGACTGGCTGACCCTAATTTATCCTCTACGCCGGTTTGATGAGGTGGCCTCCTGGGATGCTTTCCAGCTATCCTGAAGGAGGGCCCATTTATATGCCAAGCACTCTTAGGTAGCCTTTCCTTCTCTTTCCTTCTCCAGATCACTCTCCTTTGTAGGTGGCTTGACGTATATTGTACTGTATATTTTAAACAAAGGTAACCGGTTTAATGTAAGTGCTGAATGTCTCTGTGTGGTAGGAACGCTGAAGAACGGATGCAGCTTCGAAGACGACTTGTCCCTGGGAGCCGAAGGTGAGCATCAGGCCTGGCAGAGCCTCTAGCTGGTGCCGCCTTTCGTCGTCGTCTTCTAGCCAGAACCAGCTGGGTGGTGGCTGGTGTCACATTATTGGTTCTTACATTTAGTGTGACATGACAGTTAGTTCTCTTGGTGCTTTAAGTCTCCTGCGAACTGTATGGAGGTATGATCTTCTGTCTGGCCAACTTGCTGATTTGGATGCTGTGCTGCAACCCTGTATCCTGTGCTATTCATTAGCCACAAGGACATGGGGTAATACAACCCTCCCCCTGAATGGGTGGAGACCTGAACGCCTCCCATGTTCAAGCCCTTGTGCAAGTTATGCCATTGCAATAGAGTGTGATTCTTCATCACCCTGTCCAGCTGTAAAGGTGACATCATGCAGACCAGTACCCCCCACCCCCCCCCGCAAGTTCTCTTTGTACTCCCTTCTTACATGAGAGCTAAGCCCGCAGATACACCTCCCAGCAAGCTCCAACAGGCCTGCTCAGTCCTCTCAGCACCAGGACCTGCTGTTCCTAAATGAGCAGTTGAACATGGAAAGCCACCATAACTGGTTGGGCTAGTGCCATTTTCAAGGGAAGCTGTTGGCTCCTCTCTCCTTCCTTTAAGAGCATTTTGGAACATCTTCCATGTAGGCAATTCGCGTTCTTGGAGAGATCCAGGGTTCAGTCTTCGGGATGATAAAATCAGTCTTTCCTGATGGTCTGTTGCATGAATATGACTGGGCCAGGGGTTCAAGTTGTATATACATACAGATCTTTTTAGCAGGATTCTTTCCTCATGATCTAACCCTTCTTGTCTTCTCCTCAGCAAACCTTCTCCAGCATAGCGGAACTAAAGGCGAGTTGTCATGGTAAGTTGACCTCCTGGCGATCCTACCAGTACCCTTCATACCCCACCCCTGTCTTCTTCACCCTTCCTCACAACCCTTGGCTTTCCCCAGTAACTTTGATGTGGCCAAAGAACGGAAGAGCTCCTTCCTGCAACGGGGCCTGAGCATCACTTCCTCTGGCTCTGGGAGGAGCAGTGCCACTGTATCCAGGTGAACTTGTCATACCCCTCGGCAAATAGGCTAGGATCTTCTTGATTTCCATGATTTTTCATGTAAAGAAAGCTTAGTAGTTATCATGAAAATCTAGGAAGCCTTATGGTAATGTTGATTTAGTCCTACTGGTGAATGAAACCTCATCCGCAGTGTACCAATATGGTTTCTCAACATATTAGTTCTCCCACTTACTCTATTTCCCCTCACCCTATTTTATTATATTTTTCAGTGTCTCTGAGTTGCTTGACTTGTACGAAGAGGACCCAGAAGAAACCCTGTACAACCTGGGATTTGGAACTGAAGAGCCAGACATCTCCACTAAAATCCCGTCCCGGTTCTTCAATGGTTCATCCTCAGCTCGGGGCATCGACATCAAGGTCTACCTGGCGGCCCAGCTCCAGCGCATGGAGCTGGAGAATCCCAACTCTGCCCTTACAAGTACGCCCCGAGAGTGTATCAGGTCACACTGTGGTCTTTGCAGATACAGACTTACATGCAAACTTTGGAAAGAGGCAGCGTGAAAGTTGTGATATTACACCCAGAGGAAGGAAGTTGTATTTGAGAAGATACACTTTTGGTCTGGTAGCGGTCTTGTTTTGTTGCATTGTGGGAAATTTACAGTCTGCATCCTTGGCCTTACACCGTGCATTGGTTAGCTAAAGGGTAGCTGTGAAACAAGCAAGTTCACTTCAGAATAAGTGAAAGGAGTCTCACAAGGAGGCCTTTGTTCCCCTGCCTCCATCGGACGAGCCATCAAGAAGGGTTGCGGGCTGCAAGTTGGTTTCCAAGCATACGTTGGCCTCCGCTGGTGGCCCGGATTGCAGCGAGGCTTCTGTTTTGGTTTTTGACAAAAACGCTACGGCTGTGCTGGGCGAGATCGAGATGGCAAGCGGGCACATGCCGGTGAGCGGGGGTGGAGTGGAACGTTTTCGGAAGGAATGTGGCCGAACAGCTGTGTTTACGATGGGATGGCACACGCGACACATCTCTCCAGTCTGTCGAACCAGTCCCCGCCATACTTCCTTAGGTATGCGGGTCTGTTCAGCCTCACTTGTCTGGGCTTTTTAAGGCTCCTCCACTGTCACCCGAGAACTGGTTCTGATCATCTCCGTAGCCCACCCCTATTTGAGCAGGGTGGCCTAATTAGACATCGTGCAGACCTGCATGGCTTCATAACACTATATACAGGACCACTTATTTAAACAGGCTGTTAGAAAGCATGTCTCGTGCATTAGTGTACAATTTGGGGCCATCATGTTATTCATACCCTGGGCATTAGTCCACGAGGCTTCTTAAGCCTGCTTGGCCAAAACGGCACTGAGAGTGTCTTTCTGTCCCACCGTTAATGTTTTTTATTATAGACAGAAGTTTTGTTGTCTTAAGTAGATCAGAAAGACAACGTTGCTGAGATTATATCTTGTTTTTCAGTGTACATGTTTGTGTTTGCTCGTGGATCATGAGGTTAAATTCCATTAAAACCCACAATCCCCACATCCTGAAGATAGGGCAACGCAAGTCCATTTGCTGCTCTTACTGATATCAGCGTCGACCGGAAAATGGACCCAGCCAGAAGTTGTACAGAAAGAACGGGAGCATGATAGCTTGACTGCTATTTCTGGTGATGAGTTAATAGGACTTGCCTCTTTTTTTCTTTTTTTTTTCTCCCCCAACACAGGTCGTTTTCGGCAGATCGAGGTGCTGACTACTGTGGCCAATGCATTCAACTCCCTCTACTCCCAAGTGTCGGGCCAGCCGGTGCAGATGATCGGCAGCAGTGAGGCAGAGCCTGCTGATGTCTCTACTGAGAAGAAGAGCAGCCAGGCCAGGAATGTTGCCAAGATTATAAAGAAGACCCTCACCAAGCACAACCTTCTGAACCTGGGATTGGGTGACTTGGCCCTCACGTCCTCTGAACAAGGTGATAAGGGAGACGTGTCTCGTGCTGAGGCAGAGGAGAAGAACGAGCTGAAGCAATCAAAAGCTTTCAGGAGGAAAGAGTCCCCTTGGTTGGCCACGGTGGCTGAGGAGACCAATGTGGGCGCAGTTCGGAGTGACGCCAACCTTGCCAACGGTGACTTAGAGTCCAAAGAGACGCATTTCACTCCGCAGGGAAGTTTGAGCAGGGAGGACACCCTGTGGAGAGAAGAAGCAAAAGCATCAGCGACCATCATCCCAGATAAGGAACCTTCTGGCCAGCGGATCAACCCCCTCGTCGCCCATCTCCTCACGCAGCCAAAGGACTCGTTTGAGATGGAGGAGGTAGAGTGTCCACTATCTCCACCGTATTGCAGTCTAGTGGCCATCTTGGCCTTGTGTGACATCAGTTGACACTCACTGACACAGTACTGCGTGACCTCACACAATAGCTATTTCCCATGCTGGTCTTTCCTTTTTTCCACCAAAATGTTTGTCTTGGGAAAGACGGTTTGGTATAAATTTAGACAGAAATCTAAAAATAGGCTGAATAATTGCTCTGAGGGATCTGTGTTTTTTTCCCCTGTCATTAGCTGTTCTTTGTATTGTACAACAGTTCAGTCGCTTCCTTTCTGCTTCTGATTTAAGGTACAAAGTATCGAAGGAGAACCCTCTTCTGGGACACGTCGGATTGGAATCGGTGAGTGTAACGGACAAGGGATGGCATTTAGTGTATTAAACTTCTGGTGTTACAAAATGGTCTTTTAATGTCAACTCACTAGGGATGCTTCAAATGTCCATTATTGCTATTTGTTTAAGATCAAGAAAATTCAAAATTGCAACGTCACTGTAGGCATGCAAATGTTTTTCACAGCTTGACGCAACGGTTAGGAAGCTGTAGCACTCTGATTCATAGAGGTTCTGTGTTTGTCTAGTAGAATTATTCTGGGCTCTTGTATTTCAGCGTAGTTTGCAAGAATATTGTAGCCCTACAAACACTGATTAATTGAGCATGACATAAGAAGGCAGAGGCCTTGGTTATCTGAAGTCAAGATCAGTCCAACGGGCTGTGCAGATGAATCACATGTGCATTTGGCACCCGTCCATGAAGGGAAGGCCCTCTTGACATCACTCTAGGTGGGGGAGACGGGGAGGGGCGGGTGCTGTGAACCGTATGCATTGTATGATAAATGAATCACTCGCCCTCTGCTGGTGTTAAACCACTGTGTCAGCACTGAAATGTTGTGCTAGCCATCAGTGTTTTTGGATCATTGGCATTTTAATCAGTTAGCCTTTAGAGATAGTCAATGTAACAACTCCCCCCCCCCCCCCCCCCCAACAGAGCACCCGCTGAGGATGGCCAGCCAGCAATCAGACAGCAGCGGCTTCGCAGATGACCCCTCCCCAGATGGCAGCACTAGCTTTCTAAAGGTGAGAGGTACTGCCCCCTGTGGGTGAGGAGGTGTCCTGCAGGACCCATCACAAACCTGCTGACAAGCTCATTTTCACTCATTGATGTGGCTTCTGAGAGTCCGGACCTTTCCCGGAGATGCTTTCTGCTGCTGAGCCCATATCTTCTTCCCTTTTAGTCCAGATGCACCACTGAATCCAGTTCTCACATTGAATGCTCCGCAAGTTTTGCGTTTAAATCTAGTTTTAATGTTCAGGTTTGTAGCTTGGTTTGAATGCCGAGAGATAGTTTGTTCTTACTGTTTAATATGGATATATGTGGGTGAAGCTCCTTTAAAAGAGATGATATTTTGCATGTCAGTGGTTTCAAATTTTGGCTTGTAACTAATACACTTCTCATTCAATCAAGCTACTGACACCTTGGTATACATTTCAAGCCTGGAAGGCTGCCAGGTCTGCAAAGAATTGAGGGAAATCCTGCCTTTGTCATTTAGAGACATAGGTAGGCAGCTTGGCACGGAGGGTTGTGACATTACATCTTGTTTCAACACATTTCTGTAATCCGTTGTGGTTCTGCGCAGGTTCAGGAGAGCTCAGACAGCTGTGACAGCGAGAACACTGTTATGTCGAGTTCTTTTGAGCACAGTATTCCTCTGGATCACCCGGTCTTTGAGAAGCTCTTGGAGGGCTCAGAGCTGTTGACAGTTGTGACTGGTGCGGACTCTAGTAACATGGGAATGCGGAATGAGGCTGGAGGTGGAGAGGAAGTACCCAGCGGTTTCCCCCTGCTATCTAAACCTACCACTGAGAATGGGCCTACTGCTGAGCCAACTGGTGTGTCCACCACTGAGACTGGGCCTACCGCTGAACCAATCAGTGCGTCGACTGCTGAGATTGGGACTACTGCTGAGTCCACCTATGGACCTACAAGAGAACTTATCAGTACGACTACTGCTGAGCCAACTGATGTACCTACTGGTGTTGAGAGAGGCTTGGCAGAAGACCCAATTGGTAGTCTTACCCCTGAGTCTGTCGGTGTGCCTAACGCTGAACATGTTCTTGCTGCTGAACCTTCAATTGGACCCGTCTCTGCTACTGAACATGGACCCTCGGTTGCAGATACCATGGTGGATGGTCCCTCGCCTTTGGCCCATGGAGATACCCATCAGAAGGCCTCTTCCGTGTACAAGGCCACGTTGACGACAGGGGGAAGGCTGGTCGCCCAGCAGAGGTTCCCCCTGAGGAGGTCCCGCTCCTTGCCCACCTCCCTGCTCAGCCCAGCTTGTGTGGTCTCCACCATCAAGATCCAGATTCAACCCGGGGGCTTGAAACGGTGTACCCCTCCTACCTTTTCATACCGCTACACACCCGAGGAGGAGTACGAGGAGGAGGAGGAGGAGGCGGCAGGGTCTGTCATGGACGGAGGGGATATGAAGTGGGAGACGACATCCTCAGCCTCCATGGTAAACTCCCCTCCTAATGCCAGGCCTCAGCAGATGGACGAGCACCTTGGCAGGATGCCGTCCCACCTGCCCCGAATGTCCCCCCACCTGAGGGGCTCCTCCTGCTCCCTGCACAGCATACCGCCCGATTGGCCTCAGCGGCCCCAGGTCGATCACTCACAGCTCTGGAGCGCCTGCAGCGTGCCCAACCTCCACCGAACCTGCAGCCCCTACGGCTGGTCCCACGGCTGTTATACTGCCCCCAGTGTTGTCTCCTGCAGCAACCTCTACAGAGGCGATGACCTCCATGGAAGTCAGAGCGGCATCCCTCACTACAGGTCCCACAGTTCCCTACACAGTGATTACCACAGAGCCCCCTATGGCTTACCTCACAGTGTTCCTTATGACCATTTCAACTCACCCGGCTCCGCCCACTGCTGCCATCCCTTCCCCGGTGGCCAAATGGCCACACCCCCCATGCCAAGCCACACCCCCTCCAGCACCGAGATGCAGCTGCGACGGGTTCTGCATGACATCAGGAGCACGGTGCGGAACCTGGACCAGGTATGAACCTGACACTACATCAGTATTCGCTGGTGTTCCTGCACCTGGATTTGTTTATTAGCTGACCTCAAAAGCCAGGATGCAGATCTGACATGCTGATTCTTCTAGGAAGTCATCCATTAATAGATCTGTCATTTGAAATTTCTTACTGCCACAATTTTTTGTAAGCAAATGGTTCTTCATGTCCTACTTGAACATGAAGAAGCAGTGACATGATCAGATGATTCCACCCAGGCCATATCATTGTCCTGTGCCCCCCCCCTGCCCGAGGGAAGCTATGGTCACTTGCAGTTTCTGTATGTCTGTATGCTCTGTTTTAAGTCCCCATCTACCACCGCAAGCCCTGAGGGTTTAGAGTCCTTATGTAAGCCCATCTGTTGATAGCTGTGCCAGTTTAATCTGTGCTATCTCTGTGCAGTGCTCGTCGCTGTCCTGCAACAGCATGCCCTCTCCCGGCACCCAGATGTCCGCTCCCCTGCTCTGTGAGGTGGGTTCCTTCGCCTGATTCGCTTAGGGAAGCTTTATGATGGGGTGTGGTCATCTTGATCGTGGGCCGGAGCTCTGAATTTGTCACCTGCCCCATTCCCATTGCCTCCGCAGAACACCCTCCAAGAAATGCAGGGAATCCGCAGGAGCCTTAACACCTACCGTGCTCAGATGATGAACCTTGAACTCGCCCTGGTGCGACAGCAATGCTCCGTCTACCAGGACTTGAGCGAGGAAGAGAGGTGGGTCTGGCTCTTTCTGTTATCTGTCCCCTTTTCCTGAAAGGGTTATGACATTAAGCTTCACACAGCATTTTATTCCACGTGACAAATCCAGACTGTTTTCAAGGATTGGTTTAGGGGAAGTATGTGGCTCAGCGGGTTAGGCTGATGTGCCTGTGATCAGAAGGTCGCTGGTTCAAAACCCTCAAGCAGCAGAATGAGTTCTATGTTGGCCCATTGAGTAAGGCTTTTAACCCCAATTGCTCTGTTGTCTACCATAGCTCCTATAGCTCAACAAGCGAAGTAGGGTTAGGTGACCCTGATCCTGAAGTACCGGTATCCGGCTGGTTTTCTGTCCTCCCTGATCAGTTACTATCAGGTAGCCTGATATCAGGTGTGGTTCATCAGAGACCAGATAGGAATGAAATCCTGCTACCGCCATTCCAGGATCAGGGTTGCCTAACCCTGAAGTAAATCATAGTGCTAGCAACACATAGGTTGTGGGTTCAAATCCCATAGTATAATGTAGGTTTTAGTGTTTAGACAGCATGGGAAGCTTGTTGCCTCTGAGCGTATGACTGAGTCGGCGATATACGGGAAGCCCCGCCTACCTTGTCAAGCCAAATCCCACTGGATTGGTTGATCCAAGTTCTGGTTTCCCCCTCGCAACCTGAAAAACACAACTGGCAGCACCCAGCCACCGCAATACCAGACACGCCTCCTCCTGTACAGTCTGGAATGTAACACAGGGATCCCATGCAAATGTGTGATTTGAGTGGTGGCAGACACTGCCGGTGAATGTCCTCTGTGTTTTGCGTTTCATTCTTCATGTCTCCCTCAGATTTGTGCCTCACATTGCGGACAACTCTATCCTTGCTTTCAGGCAGGAGGAAATACAGCTGCAGCAGCTGCGCAGCGCAGTCCGTCAGGAAATGCAGGAGCTAGAGCTGCAGCTGGAGGATCGTCTGCTCTCCCTGGAAGAGCAGCTGCGTTGCTCTGACATCATGGGCCTCTACCGCCACCCAATGGTCAGTTTCTGCAACTGCACACACAAATTAAATGAAGCATGCCAGTTGGTGCATAAAGAATGGTTGTTTTAGATTTTCCCTGTAAATCCAGCAAACTGAATCTCCAGCATTTTGGGGTGTGTAGATGTTTGAATTGCTATTGAAAAAACCTTGAAGCCTGATAAATTGAGCTGATTTGTTCCCTGGGGTGCAGTGCTTGTGCTTGTGCCTTGAATGCCGTCATCTAGTGTGTGTCAGTGGATTAGGCCCCTGTGCCTGTGATCGGAAGGTTGCCAACTCAATGCCCGCCCTCGGCAGAATGGTCGCATTCTGTCGGCCCCTTGAGCAAGGCCCTTAACCCCCCTGAAATTCTTCAGGGGCGGCGAATGAATGGCTGACCCTGGGCAAGGACCCCAAACAATTGTATGTTTTATTTTCCAAAGGATAAAATATGCGAAAAGAAACGAAGCACCTGTACTCCTATTTGTACGATTAGCAAATAAAGCCCTGTTTCAGTTTAGTTATGTTTTCGTTTCCATTTCGTTGCATTTCAGGGTCACAGGATGGACATCTTGTCGAGCATCTCCTCCCAGACAGTAACCGGAGTGGTGAGTGTAAGGAACACAGGCCACTTCAGGAATCCATCCAGTACTTCCTGCTTACATTAGGCCCTCCGTATCCGCAGGGGTCAGAGGTCACAAGGGAGCAGCTCGGCTACGGGGGCCGACACGGTGTCACCGGCTCCAACGCCTCCAGCCGCTCCACCAGCCCGTGCCAATCTGCCCCATCTGGTGGCCCCGCCTGGGATCACCGTTCCCAGTCTCCTGGGTCTTCCAGCCCACCCAGGGAGAGGGTTTACCGGGCTTCGGTCTGCCTCACACCCGCCCCCCCTCCCCGGCCAGGCGTGACCCCCTCCTTGGATGCCAAGCAGCCAGATCAAGCCGACGCCGGGCCGACGCGGGCCTCTGCTGGGGAAGGAGGTGGAGGGGAAGCTGCAAACAGCCCCCAGCTGCAACAGCTCCTGCAGCAGGTGAGGGGGGGGTGATGGGTCTGCAGTGGATGTAACTCTCTCTGGCCATAAATCTTTTGCTGGATGGTGTCCCAAAGGCCTAAGACGATATACAATTTTCCATGCTCATTCTCAATGTGCCCCCTCCCCCCCCAGGTCAGAGAAAGCATAGCCGAGGAAGTCCGACAGCAGATTCTGACTGAGCTGCTGGCTGCGGTTTCGCCGAGGAGGTAGCCCCTGGCAACAAGGGAGCTACTATTGTAAGCAATCTTAATTTGCATGGTTTGCGTGTCTGTGAGAGAGAGAGAGAGAGAGTGAGAGAGAGAGAGCTAATCATTCCTATGCTTGCTTTCTCCTTGTCATGGTGTCATGCATTTTGGGACCACTGCCGTGCAGGAGCTGCACTGTCTGTCTGTAGAGGCAGAGGGTACAGCGTGGGGGGGGGTGTTTACATACCTGAGAACACCAGGCCCTCTTCTCCCTTCAGCTTTACACAGAACTTAGTGTTTTTCAGGGTTTTTTCCTGGGATTTATTATTGTGGGGGAACATGAGAGGGGCTGTAATTTATACAGAGGGGGCGGCCTTGTCATTAGCCAATGATATGCTTTGAATCAGTGAGTGTCCTGTGCACTCTGGGGGCCAATCAGCTTTTCAGCTGGAGCCAGAGGCCCCACCGCCGTAATACATCCCTGGTGCTTTGGTCTGTGGTCGAATACCCCCAGCGTTGTTGAAGTGCCGCTAAAAATGTACTGCGGATCAGCTTGCCCTGCTTCTGGGCTTGACGGAGACTCCCGTGTTTCCCCCTGCAGGTGAAGATGAGAAATGCCCCAGAAGAGCGGATCGCTCAGAACACTGGTAGAGAAACACTGAGAGCGTCTGGCCAACCCACACGGTTCGGGTGGCTGCATCTACGTTTCCAAGGAGACACTAATGCTACTGTGTGCTCAGCTACTTAAAAGGGCCCCGATCCAGTGCTGACCCCACTTTCTGTAATACAGGCGTTCAGGCAGATGTGCCGTAAAGCAAGTGCTGTGATGTAGGTTGAGATGTAGGTTGGTTCAAGAGCTTCGACCATGTGACCAGGTCACCATAATCGCACCTTTTCTCACCTCACAAACACATCTGCTGTTGTCCGGGTTCTGTCCTTGCCGCCCGCCTGCAAACTTTACGGTCTCGTAAAACCACGTTAAATCACACACCTTTCACCTGAAGTATGTGCATCAGCAGTAATATCGCTAAATGTTTGTATAATAAATGTACGTGGGATTGAGATATGATTGCAGTCAGATAATGCAGGTACTGAACTTTGTTGATCTGTGTTTGGAGTGAGGAGGAGGATCTTCTGTAGCTCATCTTCCTGGTAACGGGCAGCCTGTATTTGCCTAATGGGTTAGTTCTCCGTAATACGTGCTTTGTATGTGTATGTGTGCGTTTTTGTGTTTTGTGGGGACGCCATCATTCGAGGGTTAGGGTCACCTGCTCTCTGCATGTAAAAAATAAAAAACACATTTCCACTGATTTTCTACTTTCAAATTCCAATACTAATGACTTTATGAATTAAATGTCAGTGCGGGTAACGTTCACGAGAATGTTTGTTTACCTTTGCTCTTGGGATGCTCAAGGGAAGATGTCTAAAGCAGAACATTAATAAAGATTTATTTATTTTGAATACATAGAAGTACTTTTGTGGTTCATTTGCGTTCACTCCTTGCGGGACTCGAAGGGCGTATTTGAAGATGCGCGTGTAAAAGGTCAAAGCCCCGCAGATCCGTCACGGTAAGGTAATATTGCTCTGATTTCACACCACAGCCTATTTTAACACTGTTCAATCTAGCACTTCATTGCCATGGAAACGCTCGTTTACAGGAGTCTGTGGGCGAGTCAGAAGCCGGTTCCCTTTCTGCTCTGCATGCGTCGGCTTTTACTTCTGCCGTTTTTAGTAAGTTTGCTTTTAGTTAGATTAAAAAAAGATTCTTTCCAGGATCTCAATAAAGTCTTCTATGTTTGTTTGAAATATTGCTAGTATTTTGATTACTTTGCACAGTGACCTGAGTCAGGTGGATTATATGGGGTATTATTCAGTGTTTTTATATATAAATTGCATAAAGTATATAAATTGTTCCATTTCACCCTGTGCAGTAGCTGTTGACCACAATTATCTGTCATGAAGTCATTAGGTAATTTTTTAAACTTGAATATATATATTTTTTTAAGTTCAGGTGAGATTTATTTTTAGTTCAGGTGTGTGTGTGAGTTCACACATCTGTTCAGCAGCTTTTGTGTGCTTACAAATAAATTTGTATATATTTACATGTGTTCCCGGTGATGTACTGTACTTGATAAGCAGTTATGAAGGATTATATATTTGTATTTCATCCTCCCCCCAACTACTGATCCTGTTCAGGGTTCCCAGGAAGCTTAGGGAAAAAAGCAGTCGACACCCTGAATAGGTTGTTGGTCCATTACAGGGCACACATTTACAGACACAAGTACTCGTGCACACAATAACACACAATGGCTGTGTTAGAGACGGCAATTTGCCTAACCGTGAGAGGAAGCCCTAACAGCACGGAACATGGAAACTCCACACACACTGGGGGCAGGAGTCAAGCCCTCATCATTGGAGGTGTGAGATGAGTGTTGGCTCTTATCCATTTGCTTCCCTGTTTATATGACCGCATCAACTAATCAATCTGCCTGTCTTTGGTCAGGTGACAGGAAACCCGGACGATGTCATAGTCGGTCCTGCCATGAGACCTGAATAATTGCTTCAGGGGTGGTATATACACTTTTAATCTTTTTTAAAAACACTCTACAGGTGGGTTTGTCAGCTTTCAGAGTTCTGACTTGTGGTAGGTTGGGAAGGGGCGGTCTTAAAATAAGCCTCAAGTGAATTAAATAAATAAATTGAATTGGCCTTATCTTGCCTAACATGTCTGGGCATACCTTGCCTGGTGAATTTTTTATTTTTTTTTAAATAATTAATTTTTAATTAAAAAAAAAAAGATTTTCCTGATGCAGTACACAAATTTATGTTGCTTTTATGCATTTTAAGCTTACAAACGGGTCAGTGCTAACCCCAACACCAGAGCTGCTATAGTGTTGACCAGAGCATTTATAATTTAGTGGGTTTTAAAAAAATTTTATCTAAATAGAGGTTCCTGACAAAGTCAAAAAGCCTTGATGCAATAAACAAATTTATGTGGTGCTTTTATGCATTTAAAACTTACAAATGCCTAACACCATAGGAAGGTTAAACTGGTGTACCTTAAATCCGAAATAATTCAGTAACCCTGCTTCGTAGAACAAGCCACTGGTCAGCCTATGGCATACGCAAACTTAGTGGCTGCTTAGGGCCCAGTGGCCACCAGGGGGCGCCCCACGTCTGATCAGCCTGTGGAGTGTGTGAGTATTATGGCGAGGGGCCCCAAAAAGAGGTTGAACTGACAATTAAATTGGATTCACTGTGGCCAGGCTAGATGGTATAGCAATGCTTAGCAGAGCCTTTCTGCAGGAACCTCAGGTCCCCACTGTGGCGTAAGAGCTGCTTCATCTCAGCACTCTGTCTAAATGCACTTAGCTTAAGACAACGAAAGCCGGCGGAAATGGCCTTCTCTGACACTTCAGCAGCTCAGCCCCCCAACCCCACCCCCGATGGACTGTAATTACATTACGAGCTTTTATAAGATGATAGCAAGAACTGACGCTTGCTTTGGGCAGAACAGGCCCCGTGTGTTACCGAAAGGGGAAAATATGAGCATTTCCTGCTGCAAGATAACTTTGTAAAGGACGACAAGCCATAAATTCCTTTTTTATTACCGTTGCCAATAATAGTCCCTCCTGTCTCTGGGAATTAACTCGCAGTAATGATTTTTATTTTTAATGAGGTTTACAGTAGTAAATCGACATCAGAAAGAGCCTTAAGACCCAATGCAGCTCACCCCTGTAATCACAAAAATAGAAACCCAGAAAGATAACTCGGATATTGCTCGTAGTTTCCAGCTTATATCTTAACAGTGTGCGGAGATACAGGCATCGTGCCGGAAGAATCCACACCTATTGTTTTATGGCGCTTACAGCAAGTTCATGCCTGTGGTGGCAGGTGGGGTGGGGGGGGGGGGGGCAGGCATCTCAGAGAGCCACAACACACAAAACAACACGGCAAGCTTTCCCAGGGCGTCATCAATAATGCAGGCCGTATCGACAGCCCCCACTGGGAGCTTGTGTTGCACTTTTCCAGCAGGCTGCTAATCAAACCTGGAGCGGAGGTTCATTGCCACTCTGGGAACCGGGAGCCCATGGTCGACTTGCGGAACATTCCGGAGAGCGGATGGGTGGGGGGGGGGGCTACAGTGGGCCCGGCCTCATGTCGAGGCACGTCGGGGCAGGCTGCAGACGAGGGGGGTCGACCTCAGGACTCGTGGGGCGATTCCCCGGCGATGTTGCGCTTATGTTTCTTCATGCTGTTGTACCATCCACACAGCTCCCTCGCCCTCCCTCCCTTCCTGTCCTCTTTCTTCTCTCCTCTCCCTCTCTCTCTTCCTCTCTCTCTCTCTCTCTCTCTCGTTCTCTCTTTCCCTGTCTTTCTCTTTCCCACTGTCTTCCTGCTCGGACCATGGAACCCAACAGTCCCAAGAAGATCCAGTTTGCGGTTCCGCCTCTACAGAACCACCTAGACCCACAAGCTGCAGAACATGTAAGTAAAAGGCTCCTAATTGCTCCCCCCGCCACCTCCTATAAATGGGGGCTTAATGAGGATGTTGAGGCCTGTAGAGTTTCTCCACTTTCGAAAGCATGATCAAATATCTTTCTTTTTTTTTTGCTGTTGAAGAAAACTATTTTCTCCTGGGGTTATTTTTGCGAGACACGTTTTATGTGAGATGTCACACTGGGGAATTGAGCGCAAGGAATTCATAGCAGATGCAGAGCCTGGGTAAATATTATTAGCTACTTCTTGGTGTTTTGCCTCTAATTACCCATGTTTGAGCCCTGCTTGCTCACCTCTGCTGTCACCTTTTTTTACGACATTCACCTCGGCGTAGAAGCGCATGTCGGGTTTATAAGTTGCGCTACAACTTAGCTGCAGACTAATTAACAAAAAAACTGAAATTGCGTTTGAAGTAAGAACTGTTTGAAGGCTGACTGTCCGTGACTGAGTCGTTAGTGGAAGAGCACTTAGATGATGCTCTGGGTTTCAATGAGGAACACTCTCTGGTCTCCCAGTCAGCACCCTCAGCGTTGGGATTGGTACTACATGTACATTTTGCTTACGCTCCCCGCTGATTACGGCACATCTTCGGAAATGAGGTAATGGGCTCTGGCGCACACCCACTCCTGAGTCCTAAGTGGTCATTGATCCGAGTTAAAAACATAAATTGTCCTGGAGTCCGGATAGCTTACTGTTTCATTTCAGCGTACGGAAATAGATATAAAACTGATGCCCGAGTAGCCTGGGTTTAGACACGCAAGCCGCATCCATCGTAAGCAAGTCGTCTGGAGACCTGCATGTGTCGTTCCCCAGCCCATGTTTACCTCTCCTCCCCACAACAGATCAGGAGGAGAAGACCTACACCAGCCACTCTGGTCATATACAGCGACCCTTCAGCAGCAGGTGAGCCAAATGGCGGGGGGGGGGGCGGGGGTCAAGTCCATCCAGGGAGGGGGAGGGCCTGCGGGGAGCTGGTTTGTTTACACTGGAAGTATTTACCACAGAACTTCTGCCGGTATGCTAACAGCCGGCCAGGGTCTGTGTGTGGGCGTGTCTGAGGCCTTCGCTGGGTTAAATATGCCATTTTCACCCACACAAACATTTTAATTTTAAGTCGAGATGCAAGCAGATTTTTCTTTCCCTTTATCCGTGTTCAGATTTCAAGTTAAGTCAAGACAGCTTTATTGTCGCAGCATCCATATACGGGTATACAGTAAATGTATTAAATAGTGTCCCCACAGGACCACAGGGCAACATACAGACAGTGAGTGACAAGGGGAGGGTTTCCACAGTATTTATAGTGGGGGGGGGGGGGGACACCCATATTACCTGATATGGCAAAATTGCATTTATTTATCTGGCAGGCACTTCTATCTGACGTTACAAATATTTTTGAGAAAGCAGAGGTGGATAGTCCCTGGAATTATTGGGCATTAAAGGCCTTCCTCAGTGGCCCAATAGCAAGATCACTATACCAGCCTTGGGATGTGAACCAGTGACCTTCCAATTACCTGCACAGCACCTTAAACTACTGAGTCACAAGTCACCCCCAAAATATGGGGAAGCAAGTAAATATTACGCCCCAATTAAGATCTCAAACCTGAAGCAGTGTGTGCGTTAATGTTGTGACTTGGATTGAGTATATCACTTGGATTGAGTATATCTCCATTGCGGGAGCTAGGCTGCTGTATATGACCCACAATGCAGTGCGGCAGTGTCTGTGATCACAGTAAAGAGCTGGCGCAGTCACATCCTTGCCAGCTCCATTTTATTCATTAACAGATGGATTCGTGAAAAGCTGAGATTTAGACGCTTTCAGAACCCAGTGAAAAGGAGAGCTGTCATGGCGATGCATGAACCCAGCAGTGGGATCTCCTGCTGCATCAGAGCGCGCTCGGACATGGCCCCCGGCGTGTGAGCCCCTGTGTGAGGACGGCGGGGTGTGACTGCTGGCCATCGAGACGGCACTGTCACTTTAAGGAGAGGGGCAGAATCTGGGTCGTTTGGGCATGTTCAGACGGCTGGCTCCCAGGGGGGGAGAATTGGTGATGCTAATGGGAAGTAGTCCACTAGTGACACCCCCTTGGAGGGTTGGAAACTGGGCCACATGATGACCCCTCCAGTGCTCATAGGCTTTAAGGATGGGGGAGCAGAGTATGAGAGAGAGAGAGAGAGAGAGAGAGTGTGTGTGTATGTTTAGATTACAGTGTGGGGACCAAATATCCAACCAAACTTATTTTTACATTGTGGGGACCCCACAAAGATCTGTGAATGCAATCAAAAAACTAAAAATAACAAATGTCTTGAAGTCTTGTTTTGTTTGGTTACATATGGTTAAGGTTAAGGCTGGGTAGGACTTAAGGTCATCATGCTGGGATTAGAGTTTTCCCCATAGAAATGAATGGACAGTCCCCACAAAGATATAATTACAAACCTGTGTGCGTGTGCGTGTGTGTGTGTGGTCCAGGTATACCTTACCTTGTGGGGACCAAATGTCTCCACAACGTAATGAATACCTGTTTTTTTTTACCTTTTGGGGACCAGTTTCCTATATTTTATAAAAATCCATGACTGCAATGAAAAAACTAAAAATGCAAAAACACTTGTATTTTGTTAGGTTACTTATGATTATGGTTAGGGCTGGGTAGGGGTTAAGGTTGTCATAGTTAACATTAACATTTTCCCCATAGAAATGAATGAGCGGTCCCCAAAAAGATATGATTACACGACTGTGTGTGTGTGGTGGAGAGGACCTACATGTGATCTACACCCCCCATGGGGGAATAAGGTTACACATGACAGCATCCACACAATACACTGATCAGGCATTTTCCTTTCATATGAACATCAGAAGAGATTTGATACTGTGAGCTAATTGGCATTTGTTTTTCAATCTCCTCATTGCTTTTATGATATGTTTATAGATAAAATTGAAATGTTCAAGTTTTGAAGTTTGTAGTAAATTTTTCCATATTTTTTGTTCTTTACATGGTGTTTTAGGCCAATCTTTGATGGCTGTGGGGGAGATATCTTAATTGATCTGAGTTGCTCAGTTACAAATTTGAATATGGAGTCACCTAGTCTACTGAAGGCTTTTACGGACTCTGAGGCCGATAGCGATGGTCTGGGAGATAAACTGGCTCATGGTCTGGAAATGAATAGAAATGAAATAAGGTCATCCTGCATGAACTCTGGATGTAACAACTGTGGGACAAAAACACACACAGTCCCTGAGCAGAATCAGGTCCTGGCTGAGTGGAATCTCGGCCTGGCTGAGCGGAATCTGGGCCTGGCTGAGCGGAATCTGGGCCTGGCTGAGTGGAATCTCGGCCTGGCTGAGCGGAATCTGGGCCTGCCTCAGTGCTTTCAGACCAGTGTCTCCGCCTAAGTGTAACATCATGCTGGTGCGTCCCTGGATGGGCGGAGCTAATTGTGCACTCTCTCCATCTGTGATCTGCACTGGCCTAGCAGCCGTTCCCCTTGTGTCTGCAGGCGAGGTCCAACCCACCTCCTGCCCAGTGGCCCACATCTGCTCAAACCGCTACACTATGCACACAATCTGTTTAGCAGGACCCCCAGCAGCCCACTGCTGAGCCGAGGTCACATGGGTCTGGGGTACGTCTCTTGAGTGCGGCCTCCCTTGTTCGTGATCAGTGTCCGCCTGGTCTGGGGCATGTACAGGGGTGAGGCCACTGGGGATCCCCCTGACAGCTGATTGGCCCCCGAAATTGCTTCTCCCCTGTCACTCACCAATTCAAAAAATATCATTGGCTGATAATGAATTTGCCCCCTCTCTATGAATTATGCCCATTCTCATGCCCCCCAACAGAATTATCCCTGTTCCTGGAGGTGGGTCGTCTTTCTCTGCTCCATATTGGCCCATTTGCTTCAAACACAAATCATCTGGACTGTAATTAGGAAACCAGGAGAAGGCCAGCTCAGCACCATGCAGACCCTGCTGGGTTGTCCCTTATGTCTCAGGAAAACGTCCAGGTTCTCTATTTGAACTGATTAGATTCTGCTCTCCTATGTGGGTATAACTCACACTATCGACTACCAGCCTTTAGTTATATTGCATGAGGGCCTAATCATGCTGAGTGCTCTGCTTGTGCAAAGGTGTTTCCACTGTTTGGTGTTTACTTAAAAGGCATTTTCAGATACTGCCTTATCTCTCTTCCTTATACATGCACTATATAAATCTGTACCATGGTTTTTAGCCAGCTGTTCCACAATTAAGCAACAACGCCCCCTTGTGGTCTGTCAGCCTTGCTGTATGTGAAGAAGTACTTTGCGCTCTCCTTAGTATCTGCTTCTACAAAACTCAGTTAACCCCTACAGGTAAATATATAGTCTTTTCACTCCATATCATTCTTTGCCAAAGTGCTTCTAGTGCTATTGTGCTTTAGATGTACTTCATATCTCCTGAATACCTCACGGTATTTTTTACTGCTAAGTGCACATACACAGTTCCTGATCTCCAGAAACGACTCTGTCCGTGCGGCCACAAAGACGTATGCTATTAATATTTCATTCAGGACAATAAAATAGTAGATCCTTTCCTATGAAAAGGTTAACTGCCGTAGTTATGAAGGGAGCAAACCTGCAGGAGTATTACGACCAAATTGCGCCGTACGAGGAGAAACACGATTCAGTGCCGGCTCATGTTTCATGGGCCCGCCGCTACTTCTCGGTACTTCATGTCTGTCATTGGTAAAGTTAACATAAAGGAACAAATTTGGTGCCTTTTTTGCAGTCTGCCCACGTAACGTTTCACCACAGCAGAACCTTCTCTCCAGATTTCTCTCCATTGGAAGCATACGAAAGGTCCATTATGCGTTAAATTATCCAGGAGCGTCTGCACACCTGCAATCTCTCTGCAGACGGGAGGCTGGCTTCAGTCAAGGGAAGCTGACTGATTAGAGGGCCTTTGGGCTGCCACCTTTAATTCCCCCGAGAGCCTGAAATCGATTGGGGGAGGGGAGGGGGGGGGGGCATTCAGTAGTTTTGTTTGACATCCCGTTTGTGTCTATGTTTTTTTTTTTTTTTGGAGGAAATGATTAATTGCCTGCTGAGAGATCAGTTGCAAATAATACTGTGTTGATGAGGAGGAATGGTGAAGCTTTGCAAATCAGCCAAAAACTCAGGTAAGGTAGGGAGCAGTGACACGGAGCCTAGACAAACCAAATGGAGACTGCTGTTGGACCATAGGGTATACAGGGATTTTATTTTGACAGTCATGTTTCTTTTTTTTCCCTGTGTGCTGTGACCTTTGCTGTTGTAAGATTATATCAGCCTAATCTCTGATCCCCAGAAAGCTTACAGTGGTCATTTTGGTGGGAAGTCTTGGAGGGAATCCTCATTGAACGGGAGGAACAGTAACGCATAAATCTGCCTATAGACCTCACATCTGCTTTCTTCCAGAAGCTGACGACAAGCGGACGACGGGCAATCCAGGAGAGGTGGGTCACACGCTTGACCTGGATGATTGGTTTTACGCTGAGACGGGTTGGATTTGGACACCTCTATGCATTAGAGAGACACAGGCTCTAATCGGGTTTGCAGAAGAAATTGTGCGTCTTTCCTTTGAAGTGAACCATCCTAAACTGAGAAAAGTGCACATTTTTATGTCACGGATCCGGCCTATGAAAGGCAATCGCTCACTTTCCATTTTTCCAGACACCACTTAAACGTCCCGGTCGCGTCCTATCATTTCCTTGAGATGTTTTGTGTGGGGGCCAGGACTGATACGGTTATCATCGATTGCCTGGATGGATCCTGCACCTGAAATAGCGCCACGGTAACCGGATCGCCTTAATGTCGCCACTTTCCGTGTTCTGCGTTCCAGGCCCCGGGTGCAGAACCAGCCCCTCCGCAGGTGGATCTGAGGGATTACGCCCCGCCCACCATGAGAGGTACTGTTACACACCCTCACCCCAACCAGCTCCTCCACATGTTCTCTCTTCTGTTTCCCTGTTTACTTTGCCACCACTCAGCCATGAAAGAAAATAAATGCAAAAGAAAATGTGTTTATAAAAATCTGTGATTTAATTTTAAACAGGAATGAACTAAACACGGCGTGAGAAACAGCGCGAGCCGCACACAGTGAGAGTCGCATCTGCATTTAACCGATATAACAGTGAGAAACAGTCTAATGTTTGTGTGAATGACACTTTATGAATTTTAAGCGCCAACTCACACAAGAATTTACATTTAATTTGTTTGGCAGATGCTTTGATGTAGAGCTATGTATGTTTGTGAGAAAGCAGGGGTCAGACAGACCCTAGAGCAATTGCAGACCAAGGGCCTTGCTCGAGGGCCCAATGGTGAAATAACTTTGAATTGAATTGAATTGAATTTGAATTGGTGGCCTGCTGATCACAGGCACAGCATCCTACCCCACCGAGCCACCCCCCACAGAACCACATGAGCTTGACAAATTCAACCTGATTGTTGTCGCAAAATAAATACCGTTAGGATAGATGAGAAAAGAAGTTGGCAAACTGTGGACCCATCGTGTGTGTGGGTGGCTGACCATGAGAAGAGATGAGGACAGGAAGTGAGGCTGTGTGTGTGGTCTGGTTTCAAGCCCAAATCCAGCAGCTCGTGGTGGACGAGACTCCCGCCACACCAGAGACGAGTTAGCGGAGCGTAATCCAGGCAGCCATGGAAGTGAGATATATTAAGTGCACAAGGTGTGATGTAGATGCTATTGGTCCTTATCAAGTCATGTGACTCTATGGGGGAAAAAAGTTTTTTTTATTTTTGGCATGAAACGACATTTGCAATATTCTGACCATGGGCAGCAATACTATGCAGGGCTTGAGTGATTGTAGGGTGAAAGTAAATGCGGGAGATGTTCTCTCGCTGATGATGACATTTTTTTCTGCTGTAGGTATAATGGCTCCATTAGGGTAAAGAGAGGCCTGGGCTTTGGGGAGCTGCATGATTGGTGTTCGCAGCTGTGCTGTGGCAAGGAGCTCTGTGTGAGAGAGGGGCCATTAGTCATGTGACACACGGATCGCTCATCCGTTCAGAGTGGACTCTGCGGAGCACGCACACACGCAGACGGCGACCGCCACAGACTCGCACAGCCACACATAAATGGAGACGCTTAAACACACAGTCATTCACACGCTGGAGGGAATTGCATGCAGGCACTCAGGGAAAAAAAAAGAGACTAATTTGCACATTTTTTTTGCCATGTCCATTAGGTGTGATTGCAGCTTTGTGGTTTTACAAAGCCAGCCAGTCAGCTGACACCTGAGGAGCCGGAATATAATTGGAGGAATTAATTACTGACTTAGCAAGGGACCTGCGAGGGCATTTAGAGGCCTCCAGCATGACGCCTGCACACGGCGCAGAGAGGCTTCAGCAGCGTCTCGAAAACGTTAGGGGAGCATTTAGGGGTTGTTTCAGAAACTCATTGCTGACTCATGGAGGGTGGAACCGACATGAAATTTACACATCGCTTACCTCACTGGTGGGAAGGAGGGGTGCGTGGGGGGGGGCGGTGAAGATGCATTCCTCCATCCAGACAAGCAGTCTGACCACTAGCAAGGGCACTCAGCATCCCACCCCAGACTAGCTAACCTAAAGTGCCTCCACTCCATCCTATGTCATTACCCACAATGCCATTCACTTACAGATCAGGGGGTGGAACCATATCATTATAGTATTAGGCCGGGTCATGAACGGAATATCTCTCATGCTTGTCCCTATGGTTACAAACTGCCAATGCCATGGAGGAGGGGCAGTCAAACTCATTCAGATCTCTACTAAATAAAATGATACTGACACATTTTAAATATTCAGCTACTGTCTGAATGGCCTGTTCTTGTGTGCTGTATTTTTTTTCCTCTCGTTCTTATGTTCTTATAAGACACTCAAAGTAGAGGAAGTACTTAAATCCTTAGAAAAGGTAGATAATTAAATCGAGTGCTTCAGCTTGTGGATTTTATTGGAGCGGGCCTCTCCTGCTTTGTGGTGACACGTCTGCCCTTTTTCGGCTACGTGTAGAGCTGCAGCTGGTCATGGAGCAGCACCTTCAGAAGCAGGAAGACATGGAGGCAGGACCAAGTGTAGGCATGGAGCCCTCGAGTCCAGTCACGGAGCAGTATTGCCCCAGTATTGGCCAATGGACCAATTACAGCAACCCGCAGAACAATGGGAATGAGGGTTACACAAGTTCACTTCATAGTGCGGAGGAGAGCATGGAAAGCAGCTCCACTGCAGGTAAGTTCCATGTGCTGCTGTTATTCTTCACCATAAAGAATGGATCATCGATGAATTTACATTATGAGCTTGAAATTGCTGTTCATGAGAAATGTATTCCCTGCTATATACCTGTGTGGTATTCTCAGAGAAAGATTGATGAAGAAATATATGTAGTTTGAGATTCCTGATCCTCCAAAAAACAAACAGAACTGTAGATTTCTGAAATCTGACAAGTTAACATAAACCTAGAATGAATTCCTTCAGGATACGGGAACTGAAGTGCTTGCCAGGTGTCCGTTTAAACACGTAAGGGGAGGAAAAGCAGCCAGCAAAACAAGCCCGGTCACCTGACAGCCCTGTGAGAGAGCTGTGGCCACAGGGGGCAGCGGCACGGAACAGCCATCTGATGTCTGCAAGCCAAACCTCTTTATGTCACGAACAATTTGTCTCCATGGTATCTAGAGGGCGGTACCTTCTTCAGTGTTTTAATCCTTGACATTTGTTCTGAACACAGACCTTCCTGTCTCGCCATTGCAAGCATCAATATGATGTAAATATTACTTCCTGAATGGCTGATTTCAAGCGATATTCTGGAGACTGGAGAGGCTGTCCCTCAGGATTATTTATACGATTGCTTTGCGTTGTGTTCTCTTCTTCTCTTTTTCTGGTTTGTATGATCTTATTGTGTATAATGTTCATCTTCATCAATGTATTTACGGTGCCTTACAGGAGATTTGTCAGCATCAGAGTTCCAGCAGGGAACCCTGTCCAGTCCATCGTCCATCTCTCGATAGCCAGACTACCCTGAGGAGCTTTCTTCTGGCCTACAGCTGTCCTTCACCCACCAAAATGCATCTCACACCACAAGCCGCCATCGCCACCTCCATTCTTACCCACAGTTCAGCAATAGTTTTCTCGCTATATACCGTGTTGGTATTTATTATATAAAATTAGATTTTTATCTATGGTTTGTTCTGACGGGAGATGGCATGGTGATTTTCATAATGATCTTTTTAGATAAAGAATACTTGTATCATTTCCAATGGTTTGTCTAAGTTTGGCCTTGTTAAAGCATTTAATCCACCTGTGTAATGTGTCAAAGTGAATAAACATTCATTTAAAAAAAAGTCCCAGTTCAATGAATTGAACATTTCAATATATTCCACTTACCAGGCTGGAGATGCTGTCAGATTATTTGTAACATACTGACAATGAATTCTATATACATGATTAATATACAGAAAATGGTATGCAGTGGAGGTTAATGGTGTCTGACTGGTATATAACAAAATTTCCCTTTAATGGATACTGGCATAACAGAGATGCCTAGATAGCAGACGACACTGGTTCATAATAGTAGATAAAAAAAGGGGATAGATAACATTTCACTGCAGTAGATGCCAATAGGAAGTGGGAAAGTATTGTTTAATGGCAATAGATCCCGAAAAGGAAGTGATCAGTACTGTTTAATGGTACTGGATACTAACAGAAAGTGAATAGTACTGTTTACAGGCAGTGGACACCCATGGGAAGTGGTCAGTAATGATTATTCTTACTAGATACCAATCGTAAGTGGATAGTACTCTTTTATGGCACTATAGATAGAGATACTTTATTTATCCAGAAGGAAAAATATATGCCAATGGGAAATGAGTAGTACAGCTTACAGGCAGTGGACACCCATGGGAAGTGGACAGTAATGTTTACTCTTACTAGATATCAATGGGAAGTGAATAGCACTCTTTCATAGTACTATATGCCAATAGGAAGTGGACAGTATTGCTTACTGGCCATATATGCCAAAAGGGCAATGATGTTTAATGGAAGTAGATAGTACTATATCTAAGTTATTGGATACTACCGGAGAGTCAGAAATGAAATTGTGTGCCATTGGACCCCATCTTCACATCATCACTTCAGTATCTGACCCTGCCTACTGTGTAGGTCAGTGAGTCAGCTCAGGGGACAGACTGAGTGCACAGGGGAGAAAGCAAGCATTAGCGGGTGTGCAGAGAGAGAGAGGGAGAGAGGGAGAGGGAGAGAGGGTGAGAGCACGCTCACCGCCAGTCCTACACTCTGCTCCGGGCATCAGAGTGCCGCAGCAGCCGGTGGGCGGGGGGGGGCAGACGACGACGACGACTGTGTGCTGTGCCTTACACCCAGGCCTTCTTCACGAATGAAGACTTTTAAACCTTTCGGGAACAAAGTCTGAGCAGAAACAAAGTAGGTCGAGAGTATCTTTTCGCCCAACACTAATGAGGGCATGACAGAACAACTACGCCCCCCCCCCCGCAACAGGTGGAACACTGTGGGAAGGACCAGGAGGATCTGTGGGAGAAGGAGTGCCAGATTGCCACTGATTTCCCTGGTGTGTAAACAAAAAGACTCAGCAAATCTGTCTTCTCCCTATAGCTTTGGCAAATACAGCTTAACAGACAGAAATATTCATGACAGTCATACTTAGAAACGTTTTGCTAACACTCTGTCTTGGTTTAGTCACTGTGGCTGGAAGTTTGACTGTCACTGTGTTTCTCCGGTCTTCTGACAAATGGTGGCTGCTTCGAAGCCACGCTCAGTTTATCATGAACCACGGGAGGGCTGTGTATAGGCTGCTTACAGGGCCGTGGTGGGCTTGCTGTCTGCTTGTGCGGCAGCAGACTTAATATGTCATCTTCTGCAGGCCTTTCGGAGGGCTGGTGTTGCTAATGTCATCTTGTGTCTTGCCCACGCTAAATGCTAAAGGGCTCTCTGGTGTGAGCGTAACAGCTACCTGCCGTGCTCAGGACATGCCGGCATTTGATTAACATCAAGCCTTTGTGACTAACAATGTGATATTACACAGCCTGTAAGCTCGGTATGTTAATGCTGTCATGAGCCCTAAAGTACTAACATTACTCTGACAGCACAACTGTCGCACATTTCCACACACAAAGCTCAATGAATTTATATCCAGTTATACAGATAACTGATGAAACCTATGCAACTTTGATAGAGAGAAAAGAAACATTAAGCCTAATCCACAGGTACTGTAGGGCTCCAAGTTAAAAGGCAGGGATGCTCATCTTCAATTGAATATAAATATAAACAGAATATCTTTATATATACCTATAAATGAAGAAGAGAAAGGGGCTTCTGGACATTAAGGATGCGCTAAGTCCCCTGCTTTCCTTCCGTGGCTCTCTAAGAACAACTGGAGAATCTGACTGCAGAGTCCGGCTGCGCTTCTGCAGAGCTGCGCTTCTGCAGAGCTGCGCTGTGATCTGGAGTTTTCCTGGCATGTGCGGAGAAAGACACCAAGGTGTAGTGTGGCAAGGGGGAGCAGGAACCCCGTCTTTAATAAATAACAATACATTAAAGACTGAAAATAAAACCAATGTACAAAAACAGAAAAAATATCTGGGAAGCAAAGATGTGGCGGTGGGCATCAGGGGGCATCCGGGTTCTCCTGGCATGGCTCTGGGTTCTCCCCTGCGGAGAGATGTCACCTGTCGGTCACCATGACAACCAGGTTTAACCCTGATGAGATACGTTGCTCACTCAGGCCGTGGTACAGCGATGAGCAAACGCTCCTCCACACGCACACTCGTCACAAACCTCCGTCGCCGTTCCACGGCGGCTGCTCGGAGTCGGGCGCCTGCGCGTCCGAGCCGGTCTCCGGTGACCCAACATCGCCCTCTGCTGGCGGTGAAGGGGGCTCCTGCTCCAGGGAGCTCTGGGAGTTTGCATTGTTCAGTTCGTTTGCGTTGGACTCTGCCTCGCTGTCCATCTGCAGGCGGTTCTGTGACGACGCTGCATCTGTCCCGTCAGAGGCCTCGACCTTCTCGTCCCCTATTGGGCCTTTTCTGCCAGAGGACATCTCCCTCTCCTTATTGGCCAGCTCTGCTCACAAGGCAACATAACACAGGCATCAGCCTGGGATTTCCTACTGCTGAACAATTTAATGTTTACAAGAAGCAGATAAGCCATATATTCAGGCACATTCTGGACCCGGACTGCTATACTGGCACCTTGCACAGCCAGCTCCTTCCAGCACTCCTTGTTTTGCTGGATGACACTGGCCAGCGTGTGTCGCACATGCTTCAGGTCGATGCCAGCCAGGGAGTAGTCTATGGAAGCCCCTTGATCAGCAGATGAGCCCCGGTCGCTGTGCCTCTGCACGGACTCCACCACTGTGCCCATGCTCCCACCGCTCAGGCTGTAACCGGGAAGAGGACGTGTGAACCCCAGAGAATGCTGGGAACTCCGGCCGTGTACCTGCCTCTGGTGACACAGCAACTTGTTTCCGTGTTAATAAGTGTCCTGGTTACCTGTGATCATTATACGTGTAATTTCAGGTTGATTAGACTAGCCACTCAATACATGTGTGTGGACTCCAGAAGCCTTCCCAGTAAGCCCTCGGTGCAACAAACCTGGACCTCTGGTCTCCAGAGTCCGCTGTTCTTAAAGCTTCCTCTATAAGAGGAGTAATAATTTTCTCAGTCGAGTCGATCAGGACAGAGAAGGTTGGTTCAACGATGAAGTCAATGAACCCTAAAAAAAGACATTCACAAATGATGACAAACACAAAACAAATATTACATAAACACAGTCACCAAGGCAGAATCCTAAAGACATTATTATCTGAAGGTCTTTAGGATTAAAACGCTCACTGGTTTTAATCTACCACAAGAGGGCACTCTGGTGTTTTCCCATCTCTCTAAGATCCGAATCTTAATTTGGCACCATGGAAACAGAGACAATGGTTAATAAAGAGCTTCACCTATCTGTGACTGTGCAATCATGGTGGCCTTGCGATCACACAGAGGGGAGAAGGGCAAGCCCAGTTCTGCCTCCTTATCACCCTGCAAGCAGACCAACAAACAGGATCAGGCAGATAGCATGAAGTGTCTGGTGATTCAACCTATTAAGATTCAAAGAAGGGAAAAAAAACACCTGATTTTGGCTGCATCATAGATGTCTGTATCCAAAGTGACTCGCACTCATAATTTTATACTTTACATATTTATGCAAATGTATGTTTAAATTGAAATTAAAGTACTTTCCAGAAAGGTAGACCAGAAAAAAACCATTCTGTAACATAAATGGACTATTGCTAGCTACCTGACCTCATGACTAGCTTTTGTTATGATCCTTGCGTGACATTTACTTATCTGATGCTTTTATCCAAAGCAACATACAGTAGAGAGAAGAGTTACTTTTTGTGTGTGTTCCCTGGAATTTGAACCCATAACCTTTACATTGTTAGTGCAATGCTCTACTTGAAGAGCATGACCTGCTGTCTTTTACCCCTGTCTACAAGTGGTTAGTCAGTCCACAGTTTCTCACAGTTTAGCAGCATGTCTTCCTGTTTAAAGTGACATTCCCGTGGTCCGGCAGGCCACAAGAGGGCACGTACCTGTCTGAAGAACTCCTCCATCAGGGCTTGGGTCCAGCGATAGTGCAGCTCCCAGGCCTTGGCCGGGTGGCTGATGTCGGCTGCATGCAGCATCAGAGATAGCGCTTTAGCCTTGTCTACTCTGTCAACCACAGACAACAGCACATCAGCCGGCACACGCACACACACGCAAGCGCAGTGTCACCAGCACCCGTGCCAGCGGGTGGGCACAGGCATATTGGGGTCACATGACACCCACTCACCCCTCGGGCTGCTGTAGGGCACTCCTCATGGTCTTGATCTGCTGGAAGTGGCAGGACATGTCCGTACTCATGACCATCTCGATGACCAGGGTCCGCAGCTCCCTGAGGGACACATACACAGATATCCCTAACTGCAATTCACAGATGTACGTTTGATATAAAGCCCAGTATTTCCAGGGGTCACCTGCTATATCGCTGCTGTAGGGCCCTACAGCCACTGCCGTAGACTAGCAGGGCCCTGAGGAAGACTGCTGAAGTCCACGCTTACCTCCAGTCATCTTTGCTCAGGTTCACCAAGATGTTCATCTCATCCTCCTGCATGAGCCGGTAGGCGGCGCTGACGTGGTGGTTCTCCAGGACGGAGCGGTCGTTGTAGAGAATGGCCACCTCGGATCTGCAAGCAACAAGCCGGACCTCAGTTACAGCTCTGAACCGGCAAACAGTGACATCCACGGATCGGTATCCAGAGGCTGTAAGTGGCACTGATTGATTTTTCTGATGTGCCTTTGAGACGCTTGTGAGATCTGCTCCCAGCCTTTGTATGTCTTCAAAGGGCTTTATATAGCTCCATCAGAGCAGCCACAACTGCCCCAGTTTACCTATTAATTATGATTATTATTATGATTATTATTAATTATATGCAGTGGGGTGTTATTACTGAAACAACCCATGTTAATTACCAACCCAAGGGTCCAACAAGCAGGTTCTTCCTGGAGCTTAAAGCACCATCCGCTCGTTTACAACTGAATTATCAAATGGAAGCTCTTCTATTTGCTTTTAACAGATGGAAAAGGTGTTGGGATGAAAAAAAAGACTAACAGAGGAGAGAGACGAAAAACCAGGACGCAAAGCTGTCATTTTCCATCTCAAATAACGCCGGGCTCTGATGCCGAAGTGTCTGTGGTACAGTTTAATCCTGAAGCGCAGCCTGAGGAATAATGAGCGTGTTAATTTGGCTATTTGTATTCCCCACAGCAACTGCCAATCCTTTTGACTGAATTTTCTAATATTATGCTCCTGCACCCAGTCAAACTCGAAACTACATAGGCAGTGTTTGAGAGACAATCACTGTGCGCCATTGTCTCCGAAACAGGTGCAGATTAATTGGATAGGTCTCCGTGATTGGGCCTCGCCTTGCCTACAGTAAATAAGAGACATACAATAACCAGCGAAAAAAGAGAGGCCAGTCATCCCCGATGACAACATGGGCTAGGAGGTTGGCGAGACTAGAGAGCGTGTAAATTACTGCCGTGTCGAAGCCGCTTCAGTGCCTGCGATTAACGTGCCTAGAACAAGCTAGAAGAGCCATGTGCGAGGCTTACACACGAACGCTAACGACAAATGGCAACAGGCTCACCTGGTCTGGATGTGAAAGTTATTGGTGGTCCCAGTGTGTTCAAAATCATGGATAGCAGCTGCAAAAACCATGGCTAATATTTCCAGTTCGGTGAGCCAGTGCTGAAAATGACAGGAAAAGGCAGGAAGTTCACTGCGTGCGTGACACTTGGGTTCAGTTTCACGCCATTTTTCACTTGTACCCACTTATGGACATTTTAGAAGGGTACAGCCTTTATAGATGATTACTACTATTTCCTAGTAGATGACACCTTGATGTTAACTGTCATCTCTCCTTGTTTTTATTGTAATTAAGTAAGATAAGCTGGATCTATATGTTTTTATACAGGATTTCTCGAAAATTCTGTAAAGAAAAGAAAAGCAGGCAGCAAGGCCCGACTCCAAGCCCGGTTCTGGTGGACTCACCATGAGGCCGGTGTGGAGCATCAGGTAGTGCGCTGTCTGGGTGACGTCAGCGGCGTGAGTCAGGTTGTGGTAAGGGTTCCTGTGTTTGCTGTAGCCCACCTCCAGGGCCTCCACGAAGGAGACGAGGGCAGAAACGGGAATCTGCATGGGCAGCGCAGAGACAACGGACTGTTAAACCCGTGAGCACCTGCAGCACTATTAGCCTGCCCAGGTTATTGTCAGCATGGCCAGCAGGGGGAGTAAGAGAGGCAGTTACAGTGAAACGGGGGCGGGGGGGCGAGTGTCTATGGAATTCACTCTGAAAGGTGGACCTAGGCACAGCTCTCTAAATTATAGTGCTCAACATCATGCACTTGTAAAATACGTCATAACAGCTCTGCAAACTGGACAGCCATCAACTCTCGGCAGCATCTGTAAACAATCTGATTTTCTACGGTTACAGTAAAGAAAACAGGGAATGCACTACTTAATATAGAGCGCCTCCTTGTGATTGGAACTTGCTGTTAGGAGGCTGACCCTGAAGCGGTTGATCAGGTCATATCTGGTGAGGAGGTCGTAGACCAGGAACTTCAAAGCGTGTTCACTGCTGGCTTCATGGAGGGTGAAGACATCAAAGGACCACTTGTCTACATCCTGCAGGTGAAACATTCCATCTCCGTTCAGCGAGACATCAGTGCAGCACGGAGAACCAGAACTGATTCTGATTGTCAGTTAATGCCATGGCTTCAGATCTTTAATATAAATGCTATTGGCGACCAAGCGTTGATTACTGGTTACCTATATCTGACTATTTTTTGAAGGACTTGAACCATGACAATACCTTCAAAGCAGCAATCACCACAGGAGGATACGTTAAGCCAGCCATGTTAGACGTCCTTCTGTACATCCTGGAGACACAAACCACTTGGTTTAAAATGTTGGAACAACAAAATTACATCATACGAACTGAGGGACCATATTATGTGTTGTTATAATAATAAACATTTTTTAGACATGTACTGCAGTACATGAGTATCATATTACCATAAAATATACATACAGTTTGCAACCATCTTCAATGTGCAGTTAAGATCTGTGCACATTAGAAATTAGAGATTAAGAAAATAAATGTGAAGAAAACATTAAACAGGACAGCCGATATTAGCTTTGCTATTTGCGGTTGAGACTGGGAGGACTGGGGAGGGACTGGGATTCCTCAGGAGGACTGGGAGTCCACACAAGCATCCAGGTTCGTAATCAGATCCTTTAGGCAAACTGACAAAGGGAGGGGCCTTTACCCTCCCAAAAACACCCAGAGGACTAGCACAGCTATGCAGGGCAAAGTTTGCTTTTGAATGGCTCCAAAGCAGAGAAGCGTTCAGAATAAGGGAGGGGGGAGCTGCTTTAGGCACTCAACCAGGAATGGCAATGACTGTATCACGGGTTTTAAGAACGTCATCACAGCAAGGTGTGACACGCTACATATGCAGCCAAGTCCTTCCACCACTTTCCAGCATCTGACAAGGAGAGTTCATGTCCATCAGCAGAGTACGTGTGGGCTCCCACCCACCCAGCTTGGCGAAATTCTGCGTCTCCATTTACAGATGGGCTGACAATGACAACATTTCGACTTATGATACTTCAACTTTACGACGGTGCGTCAGTGAGGCACATTCAGCAGTCATTACAATTGGAATTTTGAAATCCGTTCCCAGGCTAGTGATATGCCGTGCCACATTTTCTACTGATGCCCGGTGACGGCAGCATCCGCTCAGTGACATTTCCAATCTCTGTAGCCATCGTGAGCATAAACATCTGATACAGTGTTTAACAATGTATAATGTTTTATTCTACTAAATGCCCCAGTGTGTCATATCATATCATATTCGATTTATAAGGTTTATAAGGTTAAATTTATAAGGTTTCATCGGAATGCAATCGCATCGTAAATCGAGGAGCAACTGTAATATACATTTTTATTTCTTATTTAGTATAACAAATTTAAAAACTGGATTTCTTTGTTTCCTGACAGCTTCAGAAATCTTCTATTAAATTATTTATTTTGTTGAGCAAAATCATATATCAAAATCCACTGCCTTCCATAGCTTTAGGGAACAAATTATCTTAAAATTACTGTATTCTTTAATCAGAGCCCTTTATGGAAAATAAATGTCAATTATAATTACTGTGATGTGACTATCTATCATAAGATGAAGTAGCCAACTGTAAAATCAGAAATGTGTGCTTTCTTGCATGGATTTTGTGTTGTTCTGATTCAAAATATATTCAGATTCCAGTCTTTATAGGCAACAGGTGACAATGCCTGGCTGCTGCAGTTGCTATGACAACAGGTTATTGGCTCCCTTTGTCTTAATAAGTACTAAATGAAAGGAAAGGATTTTGAGGAATACAATAGCATGACTTCAAGCAGCACAGTCAACCTCATGTTTGCAAAAAGGTGTATTTGTAGATTATTGATTATTTATTGAATATATAATTATTTAAGATAATGTATCTTCAGAAACATAAAAATATCTGGAAATCTAATTGATGAATATTTTCAATAGTGCAAATTAAAGGATTGTCCTCTGGTGAATTATGACACCATTTCCGTGCATTGCTTCATCCAATGAAATGCCTTGATGATGGATGACCGTACCTCTCCACAAAGATCCCTGCCTGCACAGCGTGGACGATGCTGCGGAACCGGGGCTTCTCCTCGGGTCTCCGACGGACAACGCCCATCTTCCTGGTGAAGGTGGAGGCCAGCCAATCGCGTACCTCCAGGGGCACCGAGTCGGCCTGGATGTCACTGAGCTCATCCTCTGAGTCCAGGAGCCTCCTGCAGGATATCAAATGCACCGTTAAATGCTCACACTCTCTCTGGATGTCACGGCACCCATGGAAATGGGTGGTGTACTTCCATACTCTGATACACAATCCAGTGGCTCCCTTTTGAATACTCCCCTCCAGTCATGAGTTTATGACCCAGATTAGATCCCAATCTAATCTTAGGCCTGGTCCACATGTGCTGAAGTAAGTATAAGGCAAGACAACACCTTCATAAAACCCTGATGCTGCTACATTGCATTCAGTAATGAGAAATATTTACATGCCTCAGGTTAGAGAAAATCGCTTCCGCAAATTTTATAAGCTGGACAAACACCAGTCATTTAAAACTTGTAAACAAAATGAATCCTAAAACATTTCAGCACACAATTACAACTTCTGCTACTACTACTACAAATTAACACATATATTAACACTAAATGTAAAACCTTTCTGTGCACATACTGATGTTCTGAAACAAGCAGCGGATACTGGTAACTGCCACAAGGTGACGGGACGTCTTGCCGGGAAGTTCACACGTGTTTGAAAAGAAAACATAAACCCAAGTTATTTTCCGGCTGCAGAGGTAAGAAGATGCATGTGGCACGCCCAAGTCAGGGCTGACAGTGTCACTTGCAGCCCAGCACAGGCTAGCGGTGTAACTGTGAGGCAGACCATGCTGGTACAGCCTCAGAGGAGCACACTGCTAAAGGAGACTGCCAGTGCCCTGTCCTCAGGCTTCGGGGGCGCTGGCAAACATCAGCGTCATTAAAACTCCTTCCATCAGGCTGCTGAGAAACAGTCCCCGGGAGTCGCTGCTCGAGTAATTATCCGCGGTGCTAAATCATCGCTGTTCTGTCTCACAGCTAGCATCATCTAAATGGCCTTTCCTTTTCCATTTACAAAATAGCATTATCGTTATCTTTGCTAAATTAAATGCAATTAATTTGCAAGGTGAGAAAATAAGTACATAGTGTCACATGCAAATCATTAAATCAATTAAATCACATCAAACGCCATTAAATAAAAAAGACAATTCTGGACAAGTACAGCAGGAAGAAAGTGCAAGCTTATCTGAGAAACAGACTGCAGCAGCCACTTGTTGGGATTTTCCTGACTTATCATGTCAACTGGGCACTGAACTGTAAAACTCAACGCCGGTATCTACTCTCTGCCTGCCACCGCTGTACCTATGGTGCAGTCGTGCAAAGGAGGGCTGCAATTTTGTGTGCTCTGTGAGGCAAAGTGCACAGACATCCTGGAATGAAGTGATGAAATAATCTGGGAAAAGAATAATAAAGGCACTGTGTGTAGTGGTTCCAGAAGCCAAGCAGGCCTTCAAGCCACATCACTGTAAAGACATGCATGTGTAAAAATACTGTACATTAGTCGTAATGCTTCACGCTTATGTAACTGTCAAAGCTTTGGGTTTTTGTTCTCTTCTTTTGAGCACCCACATAAGTACTGAGTCATGCCAACCTCATCTGGCCTAACCATTGTATGCTGAGAATCCAGATGAGTACCATGTAATGTCTCATTGATGTATATCCAGTTAAGTACAGTTACACTGACTGACCTGGTCTCACTAATGTACATCCAGTTAAGTACAGAGTCATTCTGATCTCATAGATGATTATAGAGCCATCGCGATTACTCGATTAAACTATCGAGTAATCGATAGTTAATAATACTCCATTCGAAGTTTAATCGAAGTATTAATAATACTCCATTATTAAAAAGCATCGATTGAATTTTTCCTACTCGATTACTCGGAAGTATGACAGTCCAAATAAAGAGCATAAGCATCATTTGTGTGGAAGCACTTCAAATTAAAAGTCAATGAAAATGCAGTCATCTGTCAGTATCGCAAAGCAAAACTAAAAAATATCCCCACAGCAGGACTGCAATGCAAATACATGTTAAAAGAAGACCATCATGCTTGTGAGACCCAGTAATGCGAGGTTAGCCACAGAGATGCACCATCTAGCTTCCTGGAGCAGCATGGCCTGTCTTTGTCATCACTATGATGTAAATTATTTTGCTTAATTTACTTTATACACTTCCTGTATATCAAAATAATTGCTGCTAAAATGAAGGCTAGCCCTGTCGCTTAGCCATCATCTTACATAATACAGTACATAACAACCATATAATATTAATTATTTTTGTGAACGCATTGTATGTTAGGGCTGACCGACACTGGGAAAAGTTCACATTGCAATATTTTTAAGTTTTTGCGATTATTTAGGAGTTGAAATGAACTATATAGCCCAACAGAACTTATTATCTAACGAAAGAGTCTGGCAAATAAGTTGGTGCATGGTGTCTTGCGTTGCGCCAGCAGGCATGAAGGAGAGCCGACAAATTACTTGCTTTTCTGTGGAATATAAAATATTTCCATACAACGGAAGACTAAAAGTAATTTCGTGACCGTTCTTGTTCGCTTTCCCAATATTCACTAATTTTTGTTTAATTTCTCACAAAAGCGCCACAACATCTGAGTGAATCCAATAGCAAGAACTAGAAGAGCTGATGCAGAGCTCACGCAAAAGCTGCAGCAGTAAACTTTAGACATTTTTTTACGTATACTAGATAATGTTGAAAATGAACTATCATTAAAATTCCAAAGCTTACAAAGTTTGCTTTTCTGTGACTGAGTAAAAATGTTTTATTTTGTTCGAAAGCAGCAGAGTATTGCGATCCTTGCGACATGACAATTGAATGTGCATAAAATATGCCGATATGAACATCGCACATAGTGAAAACCTGTCAGGGCGGCACAGTGGAGTAGAGCGTAGTGCCGCCGCCGCCCATCGCTGCATTGTGTCGATAGTGTTTGCAGGTTCACCACGTGTGTGCGTGCTTTTTCGGTAGATCCTCTTGTTTCCTTCCACTGTCCAAAAACATGCAACTTAAGCTAATTAGAGTGTCTAAATTTCCCTTATGGATGACTGAGTGTACATTGATTGCATTGTATATTGATTATATTATAAATTATAAACGATTACTGAATCGTCGGATTAAATCGGTAGATTACTCAATTATTGGTATAATCAATAGTGACAGCCCTAGATGATAATCTAGTTAAGTACAGTTACAGTTGTGTTATGAGGAGAGGTTAGCTAAGCTAAATCTGTTTAGCCTCGAGCAAAGGACACTAAGGGGGGACATGATCCTGGTATATAAGATTCTAACAGGTCTGGATACTGTTCAGCCAAATGGTTATTTCAGTATTAGTTTAAATACTAGAACTCGTGGCCATAAATGGAAATTAGCGGGAGAACATTTTAAAATGAATTTGAGGAAGCACTTCTTTACACAGCGTGTAGTTAGAGTATGGAATAGTCTTCCTACTATAGTGTAGCGCAAGCTGAAATCCTGGGTTCCTTTAAATCAGAGCTAGACAAGATTTTAACTCTGAGCTATTAGTTAAGTTCTCCCCAAACGAGCTTGATGGGCCGAATGGCCTCCTCTCGTTTGTAAATTTCTTATGTTCTTATGTACTCTGACTCACTTGATCTCATAGATGTACATCCAGTTAAGGACAGAGTTACACTGACTCACCTAGTACATCCAGCTGAGTACAGAGTCATGCTGACTCCCCTGGTCTCATCACTGTACGTCCAGTTAAGTACAATCATGCTAACTCACCTTTCTGGACGACAGATATCTAGTTAAGCACAGATTCACGCCGACTCACCTGGTCTCATCGATGTACACTGCTTCCAAAACAGAGGCTGCATACTCAATGTTCTTCTTCAGGTCCACCACGTTGACCTCCCCCCTCTCCAGCTGCTTCACCAGACACCTCAACCTGCAAGGACACACAGCAAAGAGGTGATCCTGCCCCTTGTGGTGGGTATGAAGATGGCTGCCCATTTCTGCCTTCTATGTGGGAAAAAAAAATGTCATGCACAATGCAGTATAAATAGAAAAATAACTAGCCCAACATGATAGCATAAGCAACTGTAACAGCCATACATTTCTGCAAAACACTGCAGTTCTGTAAAATTCCCTGCAACTCTGAATGGAAGAGTGTACTTTACATACAAACGTCTGGGACTGAAGATTAAATACAAAAACAAATACTCGCAAGATATTTAGGTCACAACAATCAGGTCAACGAATACAATGAATCCATCCTAATCCTACCAAAGTTTAAATTTCTACTCATACATTACGCTCACTCAAAAAACCATCATCATTACAATATCACATTTAGAAGCAGCAGACACTAAGGGCACAATACCTATTTCAAAATTATTTAGGGGAGAAATCCACAAATGAAAGACAGTAGATTTAGCTTCCCGAATCGGAGGCAGCTGAGCAGGGACAGCTTGGGAATAGCAGCTTTGTAAGCATCTTGAACAGGTGGCTGATTTAAACCTCAGGAGATGGAGTTCACCCCGTCCAATTCACATACACCACCCACTCCATCCTCTCCTATTACACAGTGAATAAATGCTGTCGGGGAGATCTTAGCGACGGCGGCTGGGGTGAAAACCACCCTCACTGCTGGTGATCAGTAATCACGGGCACTCGACAGACACAAAGTCGCGCTTTGTAAGCACCTGGAGCAGGAATCCCGACCATTATTCCCTCCCTCTTTCTGCAGAACGAACACAGCCCTTTCTCCATGTCAGAGCCCCCAGTAACAGCTGGCAAATCTGAACCGTGGGGGGCACACCAGCCGATTGTAAACCAACTGAGCTCCTTCGAAGGTCCAAAACAACTTTTGAAACATTTGAGAAAGTTGCATTAAGATCAGACGTGAGGTGCCAGAGCACAGAGAGTGCTACCGGCTTGAGATTACAAGCTAACGAACGCTCCAAACGGCTTAGTGGTAACGGCCGGTAACATAGCAACGCACTTCCAAATATAAATGCCACAGCATGTCACACCGTGTGCTGTAACGTGTTGCTCGCTGATAGCACTTACGCCTAAACTCAAACTGTCGGCGGCAAGACGCGGGGTGGGGGGGTGGTTGGACTCAGTATCTGCCATGAAGGAAGGAGGCAGAAAGCAAGTCATCAAATTCACTTAGAGAAAAGAGAAGTAACAGGTCCGAGAATGTGGTGCGCCGGCACGAGCGTGCCCCACACTAACCTTACAGCTGATTGATGCTACTCTGCCAGGGGTTCCCCTCCCCGCACAACTCAGCTGGAAAAAGACGCCCAGACCAGACCCATCCGTTTTAACGCAAATGGATTTCGGCCGCAGCCGAATGAGAGGCTGGAAACGGGATGCCGGAGACGGGATGCCGGCACGGCCCACTGAGAAAGGATGGGTTTAGCGAGAGGACAGATGCTGACACCTTGGAGGATGCATCAAAAAAAGGGCAATGATGAAGATGACACTGGCCTGTCGGAGGGGCACAGATGGCAGTGCCTTGGAGAGGCCCCCTACCAGGAGGGGGGG